GTGTCAGACCAGTAGTTCAACATGGAAAAGAGGCTGCTGCCGTCATCACAGCCTGTTAATCAATAGGAGGGAGAGAGGGAGAGCTGGTGGAGGAGGAAATATAAAATGATTATCCTGAAGACGAGGACTCAGACATTCAGGCTCCATCAGTCCTTGAACAAAATCCCAGGCTGGAATCACAAACCCCGGCTTTACTGTCCCAGGAGTTTTCCCCCCTGAGACGTGCAGCACCTCCGCCGTCTGCACAGCCGGAGATAATTACACTAATGTGTCTAATCCTGACAAATGAGGAACAGACACAGGAGCTGTGTTGGTTTAAAGATTTGGACCTCCTCGGTTATTGAAAAGGAAAAGTCTGAACAGGTTTAAATATTGAATTCCAATTTAAGCCAATTTCATAATCAAATTCCAAGTTTATTGAAATACTTCAAAGCAAAACAAGATAACTGCATCAGACATGTGTATAAAGAAACCTACAGGGGATTGATGCAGCCAACATACTGTATAATGTGTGCTTGCATTAAATCAAACTAGTAATGACCTTTTATTTTTTTAAAAAGCACTTAAAAACAACTCTTCACTGCAGTTCTCGAAGATACTGAGTTCTAATGAACCTTAAATAATGGATGTTTGAACTGCAGATTCCAGCACTGAGATTAATGCTCATTAGATCACAGCACTAAACTGCTGCGTGTGTCCTACAAACCAGCGTACTATATAGAACAGTAAACACACAAACTATCAGCCCAGCTTCTTAACCAAACAAACATGGTCAAGCTCAAACAGCACCAAGTTTACGTGCTAAAATTATGCACATTTAAAGTCAGACAACCATATCAGAAACGAAAGAATTGCTCACAGTATGGACCACACACTGACAGCAGGGACACACTCACAGCTGTGTGTCGGCTTGTTGTGTGAAGTCACAGTCTATGTTGCCACCTGCAGAGCACTTCCGTACAGCACACAATCACTCACAGCTGAGTGTCTAAGTGGCTTTCAGACAAAGAGCCACAACAACAAATGCTACAGCAGACAGCTTGTCAGAGTTAGTTTATATGAAATAAACCTCAACCCGTGGTTACATCTTTTTAACTTGCAGCCATTTCTGAGTCTTTTAGCACAGGTCAGAACATAACAAGAGACAAAATAATGTAAACAGAAAAAAGTATGACCGTACATGCTATGAAAATATGAATTATGTGAATTATAACAGCTCTTAAAGGAAAAACCTGCATAAAAAAACATCTAAAAGTCTGTTACGCAGTGTGTTTATGCAGCCTCATTAATAGAGAGATTTCTAAATTGTTCTTTGGTTGATCATTTTATGCGCAAAATGATTTCTCCTAAAGGCCAAGATGGAGCCAAAAAGCTTATAATTCTACAAATGTTGCCAATTATACACAGTGGGTTTTTTTTGTAGGTCTATAAGTCTAAGGTTGGTGAAAATAAATGAGCGGAGAACCAACCAAACAACTAAAATCAGCAAAGGAAGCTAGAGGAAGCAGTTAAGGAAGAATAAAATGTTAAATAATGTAATAATTATGCAATGAAAAAGGTGGAGGGATATGCAATGGTACATGGGCAAGAACTATGAAGGAAGACATTATCAGAAGAAAGTCATCGACAGTCATTTATCTGCTAAATTAAAAAATAGAGGGATGACTGTGCAGGAAAGTGATATTTATGCCCACTTGACCGTTTAAAGCGTTTTATTAATAAACCCTCTCCTGCAGGCTAAATTATTAGTAAGTCATATAAGAGTGTGTTTAGGTCTCCAGTGTTGGACCGAGTTTAAAGAGCAGTGGTCATAGCAGTAGCAGAGAGAAAAGCTGTGTTTAGTGGAATCCTGTAAAAAGAGACACTGACCTCGAGCATCCTGTGACAAAATCCCACTCTGACCTTGGGACACACACATGCACTCACAAACTCACAGATATTTCAATGCCAACAACAATTAGAGTCAGCCAAGGGTTCCTCCTGTCCATTCTGAACCTTTGCCAAGACCATCCTGCCCCACCCACATCTGTGTCTCAGCAGGCTCGCAGCTGATTGGCTGTGCTGCTGTGTTCTGCCAGTTACTTTTCACCTGATTCGCTCATTCAGTCAGCCAATAAAACCAGTGGTTGCATCCTTCAGACAGCTGTGTCTGGATGCTGTAGAGAATACTCTCAGCGGATTGGCTCTAATCTGGGAAGGTGTGTGCGCGTGCATGCGCACGAGGATTTCGCCCATGCGCGTGCAGATATAGGTGTGATTCGAGAGAAGAAACACTTGTGACTTCTTTTTAAATCCAGCGATCACATAGATGTTGTACTTGAGTGTCATTAAAACCAATCTGCACGTGTAGTCTGCTTTCTTTGACTACAAATCTTTTTATTTCTCTGCGGACAACCTCCACGTGACTCATCACAGAGCGCGAGCTGGTCACAGAGATGTTAGCTAGACCATCAAAGCGCCATCACTCTGTATGATAATGTTTGACTTTAGAAGCTGCTCCTCTTAAAGGTTGATTTTCTATCGGCCAACAGGTAACCTGCCGGTCAATAGCAGCGCGTGCTCATGTGATACACCTATTGTGCTGCGGTGAGCTGCACATCACAGGCCTGTGGATGATGATGATGATGGATGATAAAACCAACTTAATGCCCTTTAATGGGATGTTTGCTTATCTCGCTCTATCCTTTTAAATCCCAGAATAATGCGGAGGGGAATCACAGCACTGTTCGCTGTTTTGTGAAGCTAGAGAGACACACACATGCTTCTGCTTACCTCATCGTCCTCTCCTGCCTGTGTATACACGATGAATGTTTTCTGTCCGCTCACTGTTTGTCCTTGAGTTAAGTTCTGGTAAAAAAAAAAAAAAAAAAGATCCAGTAGCAGCAGCAGCAGCTCCGGAGTAATAAAAACAGCGCTGCAGCCTGCAGCCGGCTGAGATGTGCAGATGTTGAGGTCTGAGAAGGCGGCAGGGTGTGGGGGAAATGCTACAAGAAGATGCGCACAGTTTTCAGGTCTGTCTTTTAAAAGTAAAAAAAAAATGAAATGCTCTTCGGTGTTTCGTCAGGAGGCTGGCGGTCCGAGGAGGAGGCCGTCTCAGAGTGAAGCACGCCGCTGTCCGCAGGACGAGAAGCCGGGCGGAGAGGCTGACAGCGGCGCGTGAGGTGCCATCTTTTCCTCCTTTCGACCACTGGGAGGCTGCATGGAGAGAGAGAGAGAGAGAGAGAGAGAGAGAGAGAGAGAGCGAGAGAGAGAGAGAGTGCTAAAATATTCAGGTCTGAGTGGGTTTTCTGCACAGTAGCGCCCTCGGTCAGGTGATGAAGCAGTCGTGCAGGCAGTAGTGACAAACAAACGCACACCGTCCATTAAGTGAGAAGGCCTAAATAAAAATATTTTTGTTTTGTTTTGGTTTAGTTTTTTTTAATCCATAAAAAACAGATAAAATGATGTTGTAAAATGGCCAGAATGATCATGTTTAACACCAAAACATTATTCAGTCTCCCTGGAATATATGATATATGAATTGATATAGGCCTAGAATAACGCAAAATAACCACAAGGCCTTTAAGACCCTGCATAAATACTATTCCATTATTTTATGGTGTCATTGTTATCTATATGCCTAATACTTTTGTGGAGGAAGGTATGCAGCACTTGGAGTCAAAAGACACATTTCAAACTTCATGTTAGTATAGGTTAATTTGAATCTAATTTCCAATGTGAGACGAGTTAATAGCTGCTGTAGCCTACCTAATATATAATCACTGTCACTTTGATTCATGTTCTTCTTTTCTGATATTCAGCGTTTACTCTTAAGTATTTGTACATGTTGATGGAGGCTATACTTTTTATGTGGAAACCAAAACAGCGTTTTACTGTATGAAATAGTGTTGTGTAGTGCACACACCTGTCAGCAGCGGCAACAATCGACCAGCCAACATCTGTCTGTGTGTGTGCAGCAGCAGCAGCTGCTGTTACCTCACATGGAGGACAGACGGCTCAGTTAAAGCTCCACTGAGGCTCAGGCTGTGCTGCTGTTGCTACGGGACAGCCTGACAAATCTCTGAATCATCACTGAGTCTGGAGAGTATAGAAAGTATAGAAAAACTACATTTATTTTGTTATTTCTAGATAAGATTTAGCGATGTAGAGGCAAGCAGTACAGTAAGAAGTTGGAAAAGATGTCTTTTGAGGACATAATTTTAAAAAGTATCAATCAGTTGGTTATTCTGTTCATGTTTAGGATGATGCACACTGCAATGATGTGATTTTTCTTGCACAGGAGTTGGCTCAACACATCTGTTTCTTAACAAGACAGAAAGAACCCCTTCCACCAACAGATTTATGGTAGCCTACTAAAATATGTTTAAATATGTTGTCATGTTTTGAATTTGAACTAATCTGTTAAATATTCAGCTCCCTTCTTTATCATAGTCGTTTTTATGCCCCTATTACATCATAATCATTCAAAGCTGATGCAGTGCTGCCTTCTCACCAGCAGAGGTCCTCCTAATTCACAAACAACTTAAGTATTTTCTTCTGTGATTTGTAGAGCGGGGAGGATCAACTCTGAAGTCATACCTGCTTCTCACTGGTTCATGAAAGAGTTAATAATAATAATCTTATTTTTACAAAACACTTGTACATTTGCTAATTGATCTGGATTTACTGGTGTTACTTTAATACCCTAATGTGTGTCTTTAATCACTGTTATCCTTTTTGGGTCTTTGGCCTTTTTCTCCACAAGAGGGCGCTGATGTGGAGTTTTTAGACTGGTTTTATCGTCCTTCACACACTGGTTTATTAAAGGTTTCCAGATAGAAATCACCATAATTATGAATCCCAAAAAGACTAACAGACACATTACAATATTAGGCTTTATGGAGATTATTGAAAATAATATTCAAAGCAGCTAAAATAATAGGATACATGATGCCTTAGGACAGTTCACTTTGCTCAAACACATACTAAATGTAAGATAATATAGAAACAAGTCATTTCGGTAGTGAGCATATCTTTTATTCACTGTTTTATTGTCTTTTTCAAACTATAAAGAACAGAATTTTCATAGATTGTGTTAAATGCAGTTTAGTATTTATGCTCAAAGTGGGACACCAAAAACAAAACTAGAAACAAAACAGCGACCACACAAACATGACACACACACGCACACACACTGACATCAAACACAAGTTCCCTCTACCGCCCACAGACTCAGTATTTCACACAGAGTGACAGAGAAGATTTTACAGCAAACAACAAGCGTTCAGAGAAACAAAACGCAGGTACTAGCATGAGACAGATCTACGGCTACACTGAGGTCTCTGAGGAGGCTAAAAATGCATTACAGTTCTTATACTACGCTTGAAATAGGTGATCATGTGAATATTAAACGTGACAGTGATGTTTTCTGAAAATTGTTAAAGAATTGTTTTCAAAAAGACAAAAGATGAAAATTATGTAATCTTTGCACATTAAAACTCAATATTGTTTTTTTCAGAATTGAATAAAGTCTATATTTCTTCAAGCAGTCAATATAGGCTTTCAAAAAATAGTTTGCGTTTAATAACAGATCTGGAAGTACTGGCTGGGTGATTTGAGCGGGCTCTTGTAGCTGGATGTGTCCTGGGCCGTGTTGTGGCTTGTAGTGGTTTTCTGCAGGTTTAAGGTGAACGATGGGGTTGTTTTCCTCGCCCCCGTCTTGCTGCCCCCCTTTGCCTGAGGGTTGTGAGGCGCTGTCGTTGACCCGCTGCTGGCAGGCACAGAGGCCGAAGATTTGGCGGTCTCAGAAGACCCAGTCTTTCTTGCGAGGGGGCTCAGATAGATCTGCATAGTCACTAAGTGAAGTGGTGAAGTGAGGTGAGGAGGGTGAGCGGATGGACAGAGTGTGGATATTTAAAGAGATTAGGAGGAAAAAGACAAAAACAAATGGGGTTGCAAAGGGGTGAGGGGAAGGGGCATACAAGTCATGGTGAGATGTGACGAAAATGAAGAATGGGCATAAAATGACAGCTTAAACACAATGCTCCTGGCATTCCTCCTTTTCAACAACATGTATTCTGTATTTGTGATGAAGATGTTGAGTCACGTGTTGGTATAAGGGGACCATTTGTACAAAAATGATGTCAAGAAAGCTCAAGAAATATTTGAAAAAAACATTTGTCTGGGACTAATGTCCTTTTTAACTGTACCTCAGTTGTCACAAAACTATTTTGACAATCAGGCTGTCTGTGTCAGTTCAGCTATAAACTGTAAATGTGTGGTCTTGTTGCACTAGCTGTCGTTTCATTTTTGTTTCGCATGTCATCCTGTTGTCAAGGTTTCTTTATTCGTCTCCCTAGGGAGAAGTTTGTCTCGGACACTGGGAAATTGCTGCATGGACAATACATCAAAACAATATAAAAACAGTAAGTATCCATACACATACACACAAGCACACACACACACTCACTCCTACAATCACAGGTGCATGCACACTGTGCACATGTACACATGCCACTCCAAACGCTTACGGTTTCATACATATATACATGGCAACAGTTACCGGTACATTGGGGGCCTCCTGTTTTTCCGTTCATCCTCTATTTTTTGCTCTTTAACGAGCTTAACTGAAAAAAGAACTAATGAGTTTTTGAAGCGGTTGTGTTTGCACAGAGGAACCTGTACCTTCTCCCTGAGTTCAGGAAAACATATTCGGAGTGCAATACATGGGAAGTGTCCGATAAGATGCCGTTGGCCTGTGTTGTATCATCCTGCTGTGTCTTTGTGAATGTTGCCCTCATGGCACTTCATTTCAGGCAGTAAAAATAACTATAAAGGAATGTTCGGTCCTGTTGCTGAGGGTCTTGTTTACTTTTGTAGCCCATATAAAGGCATCAATATTAATGTCAGTTAAAATCTCCTCACATGAGCTTTAACATATTGTGAACATATTTTATTTTCTGCTATGTATCTGGTTGTCATGTTGTCAGTTTTGCTCATTTTTAATCGAATGGCTCACATAGCTATTTTATTTTAACATGTTGTCTTATGTTCAGGATAAGCATTTTGTGACCTACTCTTGTGATTTTGGAAAATCACAAACTTTGCATTGCGACACATGATGACAACATGATGAGTGCATTTCTAAAGACACATCAGGAGGACACATCAGGGGAGTAGACTACAAAGTAGGTCTTCTGCTTATCGGGTTACTTCAGGGTCAACTCTGGGTTTTGAGTACTAAGAAGGTAGTTCACTTGTCACCGGGGTAGATCACCACGGTAACCAGGTTATGTTCTGGAGAAGAGATCAGTTTGTAGAAAGAAACGCCCAGTGACCAATCAGACTCTTGGAACAGAGCTCGATGCTCATACACACCACGATTTCTCACTTTTCTGATATCACTCTACAACAGAGTACAAGATCCTTGTACTTGTCGCTTTTATGCCTATATAATACAAAATAAAGCGCCCCTTTGATTTATATTTTAATGTTCATTTAATTGCTCTAATTGCTTTAATTGCTCCATACTACTCCGTTTGATCACGTCGGGTCTGCAGCTCAAATGAAACGTGAAACTGTCATGCAGACATGATCATGTTTTTGATTGGTCACAGGCTTGCCAACACAACGCCCCTGTTATGTGAACACGCCCATGGAAACACCTTGTTGACTTATCAGGTTGATAACCAGCTTTGTGTGACCTCTAAGCGTAATCTCCTTTGTCAGGTTTGTGAAGCCAGGTCACCAAAAGATGTTGAACTCGCTCAGCGTTATAATGACACATGTGCAGTTTTATGTGGAGTTGACAACGACAAATATTTTGTAATTTGGACAATTGACAATCTGATTGTCAAGAGAGATTTGTCACAACTGAAGTGTTTTGACAAGCGTTTTGTCACATGTTAGGCACCTGTTTGACATAATTAAGACAAAAACTGCATCCCATATGCTGTAAGTGAAGTAAGTGTATGGTTGGGGATAAATCCTACCTTTGCAGTGTGTCACACGCCTCGACCCTGTACAAACACACAAACACAGAGGTCACATTCATTTCCACAGGGTCTTTAAAATCACCATTGTGTGTTGCTGTTTTTGAAAAGAGTTTTGGTCAGCAGTTTATTCACAGTCTTGCTATGAGACTGAATATTTCCAGAAACATGCTTGGGGGGGGACTACAGGATAACTTGGAGAGTTCTTACCTACATTGACTGCAGCGTCTTTGGACTTGCTGCTGTTCAAATGAGAGAGAAAGAGAGAGAAAAGAATGAAGACGATGACAGAGAGGATAAAAGAAACAGTCACCACATTTAACAGAAGCATAAACACTGTTAGTATCAGTTTGACTAAACCGTTGAAGACCTGCGTTCTGCTCTGAGTGTGATATTCTCTGTGGTTTGAGGTTTATTCATTTTAAACAGGAAGTCGAGGTTGGAAATAACTTAGACTTGATTGTGAGACATTTGATTCCTACTTGTTCAGCCAAGAATAACTTGTTGGCCCCAAAATCTATGGAAATTCATACATGCACTGGTTTGTAAGTATGCATGAGAAACTAAGAAATCAAACAAATCAATAAAAAGGGTGGAAGTGTATTTTTAGAAACATATTTGGCTTCATAATGACACAGATTTTATCAGCAGCACAGTATTGTGTCTGCAGGTTTTTAGAAATGTTAGAAAACGTTCTCACCTTTCCTGAGGTTTCCTGCAGGTGGAGGCCGCAGAGCTGGGTCGAGATCTGGCCGTCTTACATGGACTGTCCTTCACACTACCGGGTGGGCTCTTCACGCCACTGCAAGATGGGAAAACGCTCTGTTAGGTCATGTCTCTTTAGCTTTCTACACATTTTTACATAAAAATGCTACAAGCTTAGTCACATTCACCATAAAAATGGGGATCCAACAGTTAAATATATCTCATCTAGTCATGATAAAAACATTGCAAAAGACGTGAACATGACGATGAAGAATATGTCAATATTTAGAGGACAGAAGAGGAGATCCCTGCTGCTGCTGCTGCTGCTGCTGATGATGATGATGATGACAATGTCTTTAAGTGATGGAGATCTACCTCTCTGTGTATATCAGCATCTACCAGCTAGAACACATAAAAGCAGCAGAGAGAATAACTACAAAGCTGCTCTCTGACTAATGCTTTTTAATACCAGTATCATTTAAAAGGTAATTGAGAGGAAAACGTGTGCAGAGACGTTTCCTGCTTCATCACCCTGAAATAAAGCCGAGCGCTGTGATAATTATGGAGCATCCGTGTGCAGTGTCAGTGATAATGGAAGGTATCTGCTGGTTTCTTTCACACAATATAACGAGAGCTGAAGCTTCTTTTATACTGTGTGTACAGACTCTCTTGTTTCTCTGTGTGTGTTCATGATGGGAGGATTTGATTTGATTTGCCCTTTGAAAAATGTCAACCAATGAACCAATGAAGAAATCTAATTCAGCTCTTTAAACAGGAAGCTTATTGAGAATCTTTCAAATGTATTAAATTGTAAAAAATACAAGTAGCTGGTGTTACAGTCCACAGCGCACTGGTTGCAGGTTTCACCCCCGCCCTTGGCCATTTGATGCACGTCCAAAAGATCCTCCTGTGATCTCATCTGAGCAGGAGCAGTTTGTGTTACCTGCGGAGCGGTGTGGGGCTGTAGTTCCTGGCTATGGAGCTAGAGGGCAGCGTGGAGCTCTTCTTCAGGAAGGCAGCGCTGGAGGTTGTCATAGGCGCTCTGGAGGGCAGAGCCAGAGACACAGGCCTCGCTGTAGAGACATACACAACGGAGTGAGTATGAAATATACACTGCTCAGGATCTGCACCACAAAGCTCTTTGGAAATGATTTAACTGGGCTTTTGCAGTCCTTGTGCATTCTCATCAGTCTCGACTAAAAATCAGCATCTGAAGGGTGTTCAGTTTGATCCACCATAGCATTCAGTCTGCTTCTAGTAAAAACATTCAAATTAGAAACATTCAAATAAGGCATATTTCCTGACTGTTTGGATATTGAGGGATAAGGAGATGAAGAACCCATACTTTGTGTCCGCTCTGATTAAGACCAAATATATGAACATGCTGACCACCTTTTCATTTGGCTCATTTTGCCACCAATAGCTTATTCAATGACACAATAACTTCATTTTGACAAATATATGAAAGACTTTGTTTTTTAGCTTGTTTTCAAATCCTCTCTAAATTCTTAGAGGAGAATTACTTCATCAAAACATTTAGTTCAAATCTATGCACAATTTGTTTTTTCACAACAGATTATAATTTATTATTTATTCAGGCAAAATGCACATGTTTTGGGAAAAGATAAAGTAAAAATCTCTACAAATCTGCACAAAATGGTCCATTAAGTTTTCAAAATGGGTCAGACATACAGTAAATGTATATTCCATAAATATCCACAACATGGGACGTTTGTGGTGTCTGTGAAATTAGCAAATGAGCATCCAGCTGACAGTAATTAATGAGGAAAAAAGTTAGGTATCATTTTGTGGCTAATTTTCTGTATATGACTTTACATAACAGACCAGAGGTCAATGTTCTGTATACAGTACATGTAACACATTGTTACACATATTTATGCATTCACACAGATGTACCAATCTTCATGGTACGGTTGTATCATACAGTCTGGACTTGTCCTAGTAAACTTTTACATAATGTTAAAATCTGAAGAAAAAAAGCTCAGTATGATACAGAATAAAGTAGCAATCAGAAAGTCGAAAATAAATGTACAGAACAGTAAACAGCCAGTGTCAACAAACATGTCAAAGAAATTTTTTTATTTTTATTTTCAAGACGTATTTTTGGACTTTTTATGCTTTTATTGAGAGAAAGGACAGTGGATCGAGTCAGAAACCGGGGAGAGAGAAATTTGGGAATGACATGCGGGAAAGGAGCAACAGATCTGTTTTGGACCAGGGCCAACCACTCTAAAGGACTGAAGACTCTGAAGATGTAACGAACGCACTAACCACGTGGCTACCGTAAACATTAAGTAACACTAACAGTAATATTAACACTCACATTAAGTCAAGACTGCAGTAGCAGCACTTAAACCACAATAAACGACAGTGGTGAAAGAAATTCCTTGACAGTAGTTATAACATACAAAGATCACAAACAAAGTAAAGGTCTACTTGATGAAATCTGCATATTTTTACACCTTAAATCATTACATCATGACACATGGTGAGTGAAGGCAATAAGCCACACACAAACTTTTCTCACCTTTAGCTCCTGATGGCCTCCTCCCTGCTGCAGCAGCAGCTTGGTGCTCCTCAGAAATGTTGAGTCTCTTCAGGACGTCAGCCAAAGAAAGCTTCAGCAGCTGGATCTCATCTTCCTGCATCTGCATCCTCTGCTCCAGGTAGGTGAGCCGGTCCACCACATCCAGACCGCTTGTTGCTGAGCTACGGTCATCTGAAGAGAAGACGGAGATGAGTAAATGTTACGATGGATGGATGGATGGATGGATGGATGGATAAATGGATGGATAAAGAGAGACAGACCGACAGATTGCATGACACAAGTCTGCAGCAGGACAGAGATTATGAATTTTATGCTTTCAATGACATTACATAACCAGTGACATGAACAACACTGAAAGAGGAATCTGATGAATATATTTTAGCATCCAAAATGTATCAACTTATAATTTATAAGCATTGGGTATTTGAAATTTGCAGATTTCCGAAAGCAAACCTTCAAAAAGTAACTGAGCAAAATTCCAACACTTAACAGTCGGAAGGTGAGAGGATAAGAAAGATGCCAAATGAACTCAGGTTGACTCGGACTGAAACCTGTCAAATGTTTGGTAAGAGAAAATATTGATCATGAGTGAAAATAGTTCTCCATTGAGAAAATAAGAAAGTAAAATAAACTGCTCAATCAATTTAAAAATGTGTAGGGATGACTGGGGATGATTTTAAGCCCCAATCCTCCAATCAGAAACCAGAAAACAGATACAGAGATGTAATCGTACTGCACATGCTCAGTAAGAACCTTAACCAACCAGGAAGAACACAGAACGTTGTCTACATCTATCATCTGCTTTATAATAAAAACATTTTAAAAAGTTACGTGATCATTTTAAGAGCTGTTATTACTGTCCCTTTAGGGCTTCCTTAGCAGACTGATGAACGTGTTTAACACACCTTCATTTGTTGGAGAGAAATCTAAGACAAATGCAAACATTTTTTGCAAGCTTCCCCACTGCTGAGTGTACTGCTGAAGAAACACAACAAAAACTAAAACCCTTCTACTTTACTTTCAAATCTGAGCTTAAAACACAAGCCAAAGCATTGTATTTTATCTACTCAGTGAAATCTACTCGGAAAGCCAACTTAAGGTTCACTTTATTGCCAACAGGGAGAAGAATATCACATTAATGTAGCCTGTTTGTGCCTGTTCAGCAGAAATCAAGCTAATGAGGTCACAGCACAGCTGGACACAGCAGATCACACATACTGTAATCGCTTAGACTCATGTAAACAAAGAGAGCCCAGCACACATCCAAAACGATTTAAACTGTCATATAACAAGCATTGATTTCTCTGTCGATAAACTTCTTTTACATATTTTTCAGTAAAAATAGTTCACAGGTGTATACCGTGGGAGACACTGGACCCTGATGAGCATTCAGGGAGCTTCTGCTGGCCACTGGTTTGGCCTTCCTCCACCACAAATGTCTTCCTCCTCTTCCTCTCTTCTCGCGAACACAACCTCTCACTCCTCTTCCCTCCTCTGGCTCCGCTCAGATGGGTCGGCTCTCCCTCCATTCTGAGTTTGATCCACTGGCTGGTGTCCACTAAGATCTCATCTCCTTTGCTCCACTTAGCTCACACACACACACACACTCAGCCTCTCTGGTGTTATGTCCTCCTCTGTTACAGCATCCAGGCAGTATTACAGTGAATATGCTGCAGGAGGTGAGGTTAATGATGTTTTGATCCTCCGATTTATCCTTGGTGGTCTCCTGACTCACTCTGGGACCCTGCGATGTGTATGACGGAGCTTTAAGCCTTTTGCTGAGGGTGTGTGCTGGTATAAAGGTGGGGGTGGGGTTGATCATGCTAAAAAATCTCAGTAGTCGTCCAATTCAGCCTAAATTGTCTTTGCACGTGTGTGTGTGTGTGTGTGTGCGTGTGTGTGTGTGCGCGCGTGTGTGTGCAAAGTACAATGATAATCCCTCTGACTGAGCCTCTTTGACCCCGCCCCCACACATAAGCCCCATGTCACAACCAGAGATGGAGACACACAGAGAAAACAGTACAAATCAACCTGAAACGTGGCCTGTGGTTGTTTTGATTTGCAGTACAATCCTCTACATCCACAGAGGAGCCGAGGTCACAATAAAGGTAGTGATAGCAGATTGTCATGTCAAAGTGAACACCAAGGTGTTAAAGAACACACACACACACACACACACACACACACACACACACACACACACACACACACACACACACACACACACACACACACACACACACACACACACACACACACACACACACACACACACACACACACACACACACACACACACACACACACACACACACACTGCAACAATCCACTCAGAGATCCAGTTATGCAATGAAGTACTTCACTGCTGTTCTCCAGTAAAGTTTGTTATGAACAACCTGGTTGTGCATTTTCTGTTTCAGTTTGGTTTGTATCCTTAAGACCTGTTTTGTTTATTTAAAACTTTGAGTAGTGAAAAGCTCTTTTCAGACTGTGTTTCCACAATGACCCCGTAACTAAGCTCCCACGTCATCACGTCTTTGTTCATTATATTTATTCCGGGATGGTGTCCCAGTCTCTGAATTCAAATTGCATTTCGGTGTTGCAGAAGCAGGGCACAGTGTGAGCTCCACATACACACACAGTCAGCCATGCACACACACACAGCGCTGCGCCCCCCCTCTGGTTCAGCTGATCCCGTCTCACCCCTGTAACGCCTCTGTTACTACCTCCGAAGACGGTACACAGGTGGGATCACTTTATCTTCCCAATACGCCTCAGTGACATTCATATTGAAGGTGAAATGTCACAGGGACGTAAATATCGCACCTTGAAACGGCAGTCTGAACAGGGCTGAAGATAGTAAACAAAAGTCTGTCTGAATATGTGGGTTAAAGAGTGAAAATAAAAAATTCTAAAATGATGGTGATGGTTTAACGCAAATAATTACACTTTTGAAAAGTGAGCTATAGGTAAATAATTCAACAGGATAGAAAACAATTGCTCAAAGTTGTCATCAGTTGATGAGTGATAAACCAGCTAGCTAAAGGTTTACTGTAAAAAGATGGGCTAGCTGAATAATGAATTAAACTGTTGAAAATAAAAATAGTATAGGCGAACAGGTATATCAAAACTGTTAAATTAGTTAGCAAAATGTAGCCTGGTAGATAAAAGAGTCAAAATCGTTGGCTGAAAGTTGGCCGATTGGCTCGGCAAAGTAGTTCAAATAATCTGCTGAAGGTAGAAAATATATGACCAAATGATAACTGATAAAACAGGTCGTCAAGCTAGCAAGAGTAGTGAATGAATAATGAATGAATAAGAGTTAGAGAAAGACTTTAGATAAGATGCAGCCAGTTTGCTAAAAATATAAGTTAATGGTTGAAAAAGTTACCTGCCAGTCATCAATAGATGGTTGAAATATATGGATATATAATTAATGGTTTACTCGTGAAAAGCTCTTAAATGGCTGAAATGTTTAAACTAATGGTGTGAATAACTTAAAATATTCAAACATTTAAAAGACCAGCTTCTTTACCACTTACGGTGACCGTTGTAGTAGTAGTAGTACTGTGAAAGTTAAGATGAACAGACCTACTGTAAACTTAAGTATATGAACAATAACATCGACTTGACTTTGACTGATCAATTACAGACAGTTTAAATGAACTGTAATGCAAGTTTGTCTGACAGTGATGCAGTTCATTGTTTAGTGCAAATGAACCCACAAAATCTTCTAAAATGCCTCTTTTGTTTAAAAATTGAATACAATTCCTCAGCTCTTGGGAGGATGTAAATCATTTGAAATGTAAGATTTTCCTCCTGATGAAGCTGATCTTCTGTGAGAACAGGCTACACTTTTTGAAGCTCACAGCCAGCAGTAATCTGTCTCTCGTGGAGGGCTGTAACTCTGTGTAGGACTGTGATTTTCTGTTCCTCCTCTTGTCCTGGCCGTGACACCACCCTCGTGCCACCTCCACACACTCCATATGGGATTGGGATTAGAATAGCACATAATCCCAGTGCTGTAAAAGGAATTAGCAGCCCAGAGCTCAATCTCTGCACTAACTCAGCTATACAGAGAACAGGCAGGCTCCTTGGACGCCTTTCATGCAAATGAAAACACAAATATAACACGTACACTAAATCTATCGTTTTGCCCCTGACTCTATCTCTCTCTCACACTCTCTCACACACACACACACATACACACACAGGTTCTCACAAGAACATAGGGCTTCGACAGCGCTTACAGTTTCAGAATTCATATGCCTGTTATGTGTCTTAGCAGAATGAAAACACATTAAGACAGAGCAGCAGCGGTGGTGTGTTTAATCTCTGCTCGCAGATGGTGTTTCTTGAATGAAGGAACAGCATCTGTCTGCTCAAATCAGCCTGCATGCTGACACATACATGCCACGTGTGCACTGGCAAACCTTTGCATATTAGTCCACTGATACTAATATCCCTGAGGGTACAGGGCATTTCCCTAAATCTGCTCAGCTGAGGCACATTCCAGCACACCCACAGTTTGACTGTGTGGCATGTGATAGGCCGGACAGGAATGCAGGAACTGTGTTTCAAATCAAACTTGTTTAATCAAACAAGGTATCAAACAAGTTACAAGTCCAAAGTGCCAATATCAAACAAGAAAGAAACAATAGTTGGCTTTTGACTTCCTGTATTAATAAGTTAAATCATCAGGTGTATGATGCAAAATGTCAATCAATTTAAAATGAACATTATTAAAATGATTTCCTCTCAGCCCATGATTGATTCATGCAGTTGTCTATTTTGCTGCGGATTTTCATCAAATAACGTTTAACTAACAAACTTGATATACATGTAGACTTTAGTTAACAACTATGTAAATAAACCTGTTAAAATATGTTTAGACAGTACCTGTATGAATACAGGCCAGTTAGTGATAAAAAGGAAGGGATGTAATATAATATTTTTTTACTACACATAAAGATGCACTTCAGTCTTTAAAAACACTTCAACGCTTCAATTAATTTGTTTTTTAGATAAACATACAGTGCATGAGAATTTTTTTAAAGGTTGGTGTATTTTCACTTCCTAGAGCACCACAAATAATATTCAAAAATAATCAAAATTGCATTTTTCTTTATTATAGGGTGGAACCTGAAAACCATAGAGAGAGCAAAACTGATAATTTTGTACACTGATGCTTTGGCAAAGTTTATCCTGAAAGTTTCACTTTGATAAGAATAAAACCAGGCTACCTGCTTGACTGCATACCAAAAGTAAATTTGTCATTTTGGTGAATGACACTTCAGAATCTGAGGTAACTCATACCTATCATGAAGTCAGTGTCGGGGGCCAGCAGGGAGTCACTGTGGTAGCACTCCTTCAGCGAGGGCCTCCTCAGCAGGTCGTGTCCTGTCTCCTCCATCCCTAGACCCTGGTCCAGCAGCTCCTCCATGTGTGCATCCCCCTCCTCTGTGCCCGCTGCCATGGCCTTGATGGAGTGCTCTTATCCGTCTCTAACAAAGTTTTCACTGCCAGGGTTTAATTCACCTTCCACAAACCAACAGTGGCCAGCCCCTCCCACTCTCCTTACCTCCCTTCTCCTTACTCGCTGCCCTGTTTCAAGAAGAGCATATGGAGGGTGCAGGGAGAGGGTGATGTCACTCAAAGGACAGATTAAAGACCTGGTAAGCCATCTGAAGCTCAGGGAGGACAAGACTATGAGAGAGGAGTCTGATGTGTAAGAGAGACTATAAATGTACAGACAGGGGTGTGTCAAGAAGTTTTGACTGTGGGGGGCCCAACCAGGGTACCTACTTATGGGGGAGGGGGGTTACACATATAATAACCACTCCATTATTATGTACTTTAACAACATATACTAATGTATCATACAAAATGTACATACTTGTGTATAGGAATTTTTATTCAATAAATAACACAATAGAGTAGGTACCAAGTGGCAAACTCAGGTTTTGAAAATACAAAAAACAAAACAAAAAAACGAAGTTCCTCGAGTGTGCACTTGAGGTAAAAAAAAAAAAAAAAAATCCCCATTAGATACAATATTAAAATTACTATTTTAACAGCAGAAATTAACATGTTAACAGCCTGGTACAAATGTGTTTTAAGCTTGTAGTTTAAAACATATTTTAAGCTTAAAACTTAAACCTAAATAACGTCCTGTATGATAATTTGATGACTGCTGTCTGCACACATAAGGCCAGTTGCTTCAAGGAAGAGCTAATGATTCAAATCACCTGACTCGTACAGAGAGAAAACACACACTCTCCTGACAACAAAAACACAGCAGGGAGGGTTCATTCAATTTTCTGATGCACACAAAGTTGCCGACAAGCACTCAATTACTCTCCTGAAAAGAGCTTACATCAGGCTACCATCCGGTGTGTCCGACCCCACAGTGCTGTAAGGATGATGAGATTCAGAGATTAGGCAGCACAACTTGATTAATTACATTCATCGTGAGGACAATAAGCTGCGTGTGGTAATTAGACACACAGAGGAAGACCACAGGAGCAGATGAAGAGCTAGTTAGGTGATTGTGTCAGGGGGTCTTCCCCCAAGTGTAAGCTAGAGTTCTGTCGATTGTGCACTCGCTGGATTGATTCTGTTTGGAGCAGATGTTACATTTTGCTGATCTGTCAGAGCTTTTCAGACACAGACTGGAGGTCCTCTGTTCCTGTGTTAAATATTAGATCTGCTTTTCTTTCCATCTTCCTCTTTAACAGAACCAGAAGCTGGTTTCACCTTTCTTTCTTTCATCTCAAGTTTTGGGTTTTCTCTTCAGTCTGTACTCTCCACAGCAGGAAAAGCAGTCTCTGTCAGTGTGTTAAATGATTTGAACAGTCAGAAACTAAAAGCAAATGCAAGTGGATAAAGTTCCAAACCTCATCTGCGGTGGGAAAATCCTCCTCCTCCTCCATGATCACTGAAGAACATTGACATTGCAAGTTAACCTCTGTATTCATTTGTTTGCATCTTTTGTCTGCATACACTCATCAACTAATGCCAGGTATTAACCAATGCAATTGACTTCTGAAGACAAAGAGGCACATGGCCATTCTGATCCAAAATAATGGATTTGCGTCCTACGTACTTCAGTGAGCGCGCTGTGTCACTTCCTGTCTAAAGCTGAATCCCTTATTTTATCCTACAGAGAGGCATGTTTACACCGGTCACCTGAGCATGTTAAGCAGCCAACAATCTCACAGCAGACTGCAGCACCTGAGAGGTCAAAGTGCGCTGCTGGTCATGTTATTATGAGACACTAATCGTCTGCTGGTGTCCCTGTGAAACAGACACTCTGGCCCTGTGGACTGTGTGTATGTATGTCAGTATGAGCTGGATATTCCTAATGCCCTGAGGTCTGTACAGGGATAAAGGACAAAGACGCATAATGACTAAGGAGACAAGAGAGAGAGACAACGTAAGGTGGAAACCTGTCTGCTGCTGTATTTAATTAAACAGACAAGCATGCACTGCGGGCCATTATGTACCTAAAAGAAAAGGTCAAACGTTTGACCCTGACCTGGTCCGGTTAACTCTCTGCTGCCCACCTGTGGACACTATATGGCATCACAGCTGTCCTCTAACTTGGAGCCCTTCTGTTGATCACCTGTAAGAAACAGCTTCCTGTATGTGAACTATTATACAACAAACAACACTGTGGAAGATATATTGGAATATATCAAATGAATAAAGAGCCACACACAGAAATTTCACAAAGGACTTAAAATTTATAAATATTCTTCCAATGTAACATTAAATCAGTAGGGTTGTTATATAATTCTTCCAAAAAATCCAACAGATTTTCAGAGAGAATGACAAAGTGACGATAATCTGATACACATGTTGCTTCTCTACTCCAAAAATATCAAGACTTTTCACTGTATATACCCCCCTTTTCTTTCAAATATATAAAATATATGTCAACAATAAGCATCAATACATACCACATAAAAAGCAGAATCTCATGGGTTTGTGAACACACCCTCAGTGTGGCATCAGTAAAGGTCTCTAACTGTTTGACCCCTACATACACAAAACGTGACCTCTTCAGCCTGTGGCCTGGCCTTGTTGCCATGGTAACAAAATTATGAAACTGTGTCCATGCAAAGCTGCTGGTAAATTAAGTTACATAAATAATAACATACAATCTGGTCCATGCTTTTTGTTGCAGGGCGGGCCAGCAGCTGGGAGGATGACTCACTGACACTTTCTTATTTAGCTTTCCTCCTCATCTCTTGTCTTTATGAAACTCCTGCACCAGAAACTAAGGATGCAAGGACAGAGGACAAGGAGAGGAAGCTGTTAAGAGAGGTGGCCGTCATGCTGTTCTGCAAAAGTAGGATTTCTGCCCTCTAGGGGACAAATATTGTCAATGCACATCTGGGAGAAGGCAACAGAGGGCATCTGATTCAGATGGTGGGAGAAGATTCTCAGCAAAGTTCACATTTATTACATCAAAATTGATCTTAGTCATCCGGTAAACCTAAAAGTGTGGATCACTAAAATAAGGGACTGTATGAAAATGATTCTTGGAGGGAGGCTTAATCCTATTTACCTGAACCCTACAAAAAGCATGTTTTCTTTTTGACATTTTCCCGAACTTACAAAAAGTTCTTACCATCAATATTTAAAACAACAGACATAAACAAACATAACGCATATGTGGAAGAACCACACTGAAATTCTATCTTTTTTTTTTTCTTTTTAAATAGAAAGCTGCTTTAAAGTAGTCCTTTGATAGAAGCCTGGCTGGGCCTGTGTTAGGTAGAGTTGTAATTCAACGTGTTATTTAAAAGAAAAATTTAGATTTAAATTAAAAACCAAATTAAATTTGGAAACAAAAGTGCTTAAAGTCCCTTCTTTGCAATCTTGAAAAAAAATATAGCTCCGCCCCCCACTCCCCCTATGGACAGAATAAAAATACATAACTCATCCCACAACTTTCCTCATCGCAGAGGAAATGTTTAGCTCAGTCGGAGGAGCAGGTTCCAGATGTTCAGAGACTGCTGTCTCCTACACATCGGCCACAGGTTCAACTCTTGGTATCTGCTCTTAGATGCATGTCTACCCAACTCTGTCCACCCCATATTTCCTGTCTCCCTTCAATTATCCTATATAAATAAAATAAAAATACATCTCATTGCATGCCCCTCCTTAGTTATTTCCAAACAGTCCCTTATTTCTGACACTCATTGGGAACCCTCCATAACGTTGCGCTAAATTTAGAGAAGGGATATTGATCTGAGATCAGCCTGAGGGGATCTTCTCCCTGGAGTCCAGAGGACGTCCTGTCCTGTCTCAGGTGTTCTTTTTGTCTATCCCTAATCTGATGAATCAATAAAAGCTCCAGTGACCGGGTTGCCACGACATTCTCCCAAACGTTACACTTAAGGTCAGACAGGTTAGACAAGAGGGCTGGAAGTGGTTTCTTTCCATAGATCTCAGGTCGGATTTTAAATAAGTGGAATCAGATCAGATCTGGAAGTCACTTCTGCCCTCTTGCTTGTCAGGGTGTGCTTTGGTCTGCTCTCCAACCCGACAACAAACAGAAACAAACTAAACATTTACATCTCTGTCAAAAATTGTCACTCAAATCATTTAATTTCTAAACTTATAAGTTACAAATAAACAGATCATTTCTATCCTGGAGCACAAACAAACAGGATATAGTTCATCAATTAGACACAGTAATTCCAAATAAGTTAGATTGAAATCTTAATATATCGTAATGTTTACTCCATTTAAATATTTTTTTTCTTACTTTAAATATAATTATTACAGATCTTGCAAAAATACTACACTGTGCATTGGCTGTCTGCTTGTTTAAAGAGTGCCCGGTGCTTCCTGGGTTCAGATATGTACACTTTATAAGAAATTACCTGAAGGGAGTCTCTCACCGCCTGCTCTCTACAACCTGACAGGTCATGACGGCATGGAGTCCCTTCACTCTCCTCTTTCTTTTATTTGGTCAAATCTCAATTATCGCTGTGATGATTTGAAAACTAATTTGAAATAAAAGAAAAAATAATGCATATCTTTTTCTGAATTTGTTAAGTTCATTTTCCAAAAATAGTACATCTAAAAATATATCGCATATGCCATCTTAGGAAACCGACATAATAAAATATTCTTAATAAGGATAAATTGTAAAGTAGGAGAATATATATATTACCTCTTAGAAGAATCTGGGCGCTAATAGAAATGAAAAAAACCCAATCGTCAGGGTTTGATTTTGTTTTGGGGAGAAAGAGTCACGCTGCCCAAATAGAGAAAAAGTTAAAGATGGCTTTAGAGAGGGGGCAACTTTTTTTTAAAGTCTTGTTTTAAAGAACAGGGCGTTTGGCTGTGTAGGAAAGCAATCGGGTACTCTTTATATTTTTAAAAAGGTACACACACACACACACACACACTCTGACACAACTCGTTTTGTACATGACAGTACAACACTTGCAAGTTAAAAGGCAATGAATGAGTTTGGTTTGAAACCACGACTCATAATTACATATCAAACACCACCCAGCCCACCTTCAGTCCAAATACACGCCTAACACGCTGCTACGTCAGAGGCCTTTTCTGAACTCTTATCACATTGACAGTGTGGATACATACATATATATACTGTATATTTATGTCAGAGCTGATTTAGAAATCAAATGGAATGACTCTTGCTTTCTATATATAATGTATATATTCAACAGGTTGTGCATCAGGTCACATGACCAACCGGTTTGCAACTCCTCAACTAACAGAGAATAAAAAATAAAAAGTTTGCACTGACGAAAGCAGTCATGACATCCTTTTCCTCTACCAATCGCACATACACACACTCTAAGAAACACACGGTGTTAAAAGTTGCTAGATCAAAACAAATAAAGGAAAAAAAAACACTTTAGTAATAATCGAGGAATGGATTAGTGCAATTTGATAAAGGGAACACGAGCAGGAGCTGACAAGGAGGAGAAGTGCGAGGGAGGAGATGTTTGTGAGATCCTTTGGTTTATCTTCAGGAGGTGAGATGGGGGAGGGGGAGGGGGAGGGGGAGGAAATGATGCGTATGTCTGATTAATAGAAGTGGTAGAAAAGACACATCACAATGTTTCAGGATGCAAAGCGAGCAGGTAAAGCGCAGCAAATGAATGACACAAGTCCCGGTAAAGATGCAACCGTTTTGGATCCAATATAAAATATCTAAACCTATTTTGAAAATGTGATCGTAATTTTTGTGCAAAAACACAAAACATTTCCTTGTTTGAGCTTTTCAGTTATATAGATTTGTTTTTGTTTTCTTTGACATACCAAGATAACCGGGGGAATTGTCTTGGCCTAGGGGAAACGTTTCAGTATTTTTGTCAGTTTACTGACAAAAGAAGAAAAATGAATAAAGAAAACAATCATAATGTAAGTTGTCAAGTGATCATTTCATAGATGTCTCTTAGTTGATTGACAACAAAACAACTTTTCTTGGTACTACAGTAAATTTGATCTTCCAAATTCTTAGTTGTACTTCTTGTGATTAGCTGCCTAAAGCTGTACCTGCAAGTTATAAGGCAAGTCACAGGGAGAGAAACAAAAGAAGAAATGAACAGAAACTAAATGTGAAAGAATGAGTGGATGGACCTCGTTTTTCTTTCACAGGGTCACTAGCCACTTAAATGAGTGAGCCGCTCAGGAACGAGACCCTTGAGTTAGTTTTCTAGTTTGAAATCCATGGAGTTTTTTTCAGTCCGGTGTAACGTTTCACTAATAAATTCCCCTGAGGCTCATTTCAGAAAGAAGGTTTTGTGCAAACACCGAGTCTGTTAACCTTCAAATAAGGGAAAGTCTGAATTTTCCGTCCAGAAAAAGCGTAACTCAAGCCTGTTCCAGAAAGAGAGGTTACGTAAGCTCTGGGTCAGTTACTATGGTTACCGAGTCTGTGGACCTAACTTGGTTGGGAGCAGGTTTTCTTCAATGAACCCTGAGTTTCTTTCGGTCTCCTCCCTCTTTCAGAGCCAGAAACAGGGTTTAATTTCCTCATTTAATCATTCAGTCCGCATCACGCGCGTTAGTGGTGTTTGTCTATAAAAAAATAAAAAAATAAAATAAAAAGTAGGTAGTTTTAATATCTGTATCTGTTCAGAATACTATAAAAACATACTTTGTCGTCCAACATGGCATGTCCTTTAGTCGAGGAACCTGGAGATGAAAGGGCTGCATTATTCCACAGGGAGTTACATTTACGTCCGGAGACATCTAACTAGGCCTATTTACTGAACTAAACAGGATATAAGTGAGAGGACATTTGTGTGTGTGAAAGCAGCATCATGATATCATTTTAAATAAATAGACTACATTCAAACTAACGTGCTGCCACAATCAGCAATGTTCATAATTGCTGTATGTCCACGTGAGGATGTATAGTTTCAGAGGGTTAAAGTACGAGAACCACCTTTCTGTCACCTGTTGCCATGGTGAATCGTAGTATTAAGGCTCCATTAATGTTGGCTTTTTATAGTCGTGCTGCACGTGCTGAACACAGAGTGACCAAACTCAAATCAGCTGTTCTGGAACCGGAAACTTAAGAGTTTCCCATCTGAGGATAAATCAACTCAGAGATCAGGTTTTTGACTCAGAGTTTGTTAAACCTTCTTTCTGAAACGGGTCCCTGGAGTCAAGTTCAGGAAGCAAAAGATCTGCTTCAGAACGCTCTCAGGTTCAGTGACGCACACACGGAGACGGCAGCTTTGCTTCCTCTAAAGCTGCTTGTTTGGTTTGATTGCCTGAAAGCCTCCTAAAAAACCATCACACATCCCCACATTTATCCGTTTATCCACACTGACAACACTCGCTCCCCCTACACACACACACACACACCACACACACACACACACACACACACACACACACACACACACACACACACACACACACACACACACACACACACACACACACACACACACACACACACACACACACACACACACACACACACACACACACACACACACACACACACACACACACACACACACACACACACACACACACAGAGAGAGAGTGAGACAGACCAGGAGAAATCAGACGCCGCTCTTGATTAGCTGCTCCTTCACCCTGGCTGGTTGAGCAGCGTTAACATGGAGCTGACAGTGCAGGCCTGTGTTCACCCTGAAGCACCTTAGTGCTGGACTCTTCCTGAGCCTTAGCTTACAAAAGAAACAAACATGATTGTTGTGCTGAGATGCTTCAGGAGAACTGTAGGCCTGAACGTTGGCCAGTTCAGTCTGGTGTTCAGCATTCCTGGCAGGCAAAGGGGAGAAAAGTGGTGGGGGGCGGTTGTTGTGGAAGCTGAAATCTTCAAACTGATGAATGAATTCTCTCTTCCTTGCTCCCACAAACCGGGAAAAATTGTTGCTCTGCCTCACATTGTAGCGCCCTCTGTAGTCGACTAAAGGGATCTGTGCTTCATTATGTGTCACAAACACTTTTTGCTTCATCTGAATCCCTCAAGAATAATTTACAACCCCCCCCTCTTCCCTCTGAAGACATGGGTGTTCAGTCCATCAGCAACACCACCTCTGTGCAGAAGGTGGGAGTTACTCTGTGATTATTTCATCGGTGTGAATCCCCCCCTCCCCCACTGCCTTCTACTGCAGGTTCTTCAGGATGCGTCCATAGCGGAAGTCGTAGACGTGCCGGCAGAGATACACCAGCTCGGGGTCGACGTCGGTGGGCACACAGCGGTGGGAGGGGGGGGCAAAGTCAGGTCCGCAGGGCACCATACTTGCACTGCTGGGTGGGGCACCTTCAGCACGCCGCTTCACAAAGGCACAAAATCTACACAAAAAACAGACACACAACATCCGTGGTGACGCCTCCAATCAAATTAAACAACATAATCTGAATAGCCAGAACTGTATTTGAACATAACAAGTCACTAAACTATTCAATATTCATGTTGTATGTTCCCTTGAATTCATTATCTGTTGCAGTGTCACAGAAGTGCAATAACAAAGTCAGACACTGAGGTGTTAATTAAAGGATCGACACCAAACCTTTTAGCTTTCTGCTAACGACTTATGCTGAGGGATATTCCGTGTGTGTGTGTGTGTGTGTGTGTTGTGTACTTACCTACAGTACTGGGCAAGTGGGAGAACGTAGCATCTGTCTTCTATGCAGGCCACACTATTTTCATCCTGATGCCGAGACGCGAAAATCTCATTCTGAAAACACAGTGGGTGTACAATGTCACATCACCTCAAGTGCCTCTTAATACAGCGGCTGAATGCTGAAGAAATGATGACACTTTTCACTCATCAGCGTGGCTAATTGTTTATGTGCGATGTGGTTGTGCCTCTCTTGGTTTCTACCTTAGCTTCTAACACACAGAAGGACCTCTCTCCACTGAAGGCACGCCGTGGATATCTACTGTGAACAGGAACACGAGTGGTGTTTCTTCACTCTTTGTTTGTGCAGACTGAGGTGCACAGATATCATCACTCTTGCATTGTGGTTTCACCAAAGAGCTTAGCAGCTATCAACAGTTTCAGGGCTGCTGGGAGGAAGATAATGATGTCTCTGACAGCCCCAGCGTCTGTCTCTGTGTGTGTGCATGGAGAAAGAGTTCACCTCCTCCATGCACATTATGGTCTTATGTAAATCACCTTGGTTCGCATTATTACCCGAGATGCAGTGATTGCAATTTCGTTAGCAGATTTTTGATTTGTTTTAGGTCTAGGTTCATCACTTTATGAAAGACTATACTGGTAAATAGTACCAGTGCAACTTTTCAATAATTTTAACAGAAAAATTACAAATACTCTGGGGATCTCATTATCTATAGTACATGATATCATTAAACGATTCAGAGAATTTGATGACATCTCTGTATTCAGGGGAATATTGTCAGCCCTGCATTAAAGACGCACTATTCTGTAATAGACTTCACTGACTAAGCCCGTAACCCTTCCAAAAACCATTGTCTGCAAACACAGTTCATCCCTGCATTCACAAATAGCTTAAACTATACCATGCCAAGAGGAAACCTTATATACACCAGATCTAGGAACACCACAATCTTCTCTGGGTCCAGATTCTTTTAAAATGGACTGAGGCGGAGTGAAAACTGACCTGAGGACTGACAATTCAAATTTTGAATTACACTTAAGAAATCATGGAAGTTGCGTCCTCCTGGCAAAAGAGGGAAGGGACCATTTAACTTGTTTTCAGCACACATTCCATGATGTTACCGGATGCATTAGTGCACGTCATAGGTAAACTACACATTTGTAAAGGCACCATTAATGCTGCACCATGTATACAGTTTCTATGCAGCCAAAAGACAACTTCTTCTTCAGGGAGGGCTGGAGACAATGCTGAACCACATTGTGGACGTATTACAACAGCATGGCTCGGAGTATTAGGTGATTAATAGGCCTGCCAGCAGTCCCGACTTGTCACCCAGTGAAAATGTTTGGAGCATCTTGGAACCCTTGGAAAGTACAACAAGGAGCTGTTTAACAGCTGTTTTCCTACATTAAGCAAGAATGGTAAATCATTCCACTTTCAAAATTATAGAAGAAGCAGAGTAAGGTTTTCTGGCACAACTTCCCCAACTACCAAGGTGCATGGAGAGTGAAAGGCTTGAGGAGGTCAAGAAGCTCCAGCGACACTTGTAGTATAAAATCAACTTTATTCACTTTATTAGAGCGATGCTTTTCGGCACGTGGCCTTCAAGACACTGATGAAATCATCGAGCCAAAATGTGTCAGTCTAACAAAGTTAAGAAAGTTGACATTTTTACTGTCAAAATTATAGAAAAAACACAATGTCAAAGTGGCAAAAGCGAAACAACATTATGGGAAACATGACCCTGTCCAATCTGTTGCTGGCAACAAATTTAATTTGGGCATAAAACTCTCCCAACATTTTCAGGGCTTTTTTTATGTTTTTCTTCTTTCACACAAAAATATTTTTGCAAGTTAATTTTCTTCAATTCCATGAGCACTGCCTCTGAAGTCTGTCTGCTCATTCTCAAAAAACAAACTGTCCGTCACACAGGCTCTCCCCTGTCTGATTGTCTCCACAGACTGAGATGGTAATGGACAAGTACAGGAGAAACTGTTCATAAAACAAACTTTTATAAAACATATTTTACAAACTCCCAAGGAAATTTCACAATGGAATAGTCCTATTATTTACTTTGCTGTGTCTACAGATACAATGGAAAAGAAAATTAAAAAGTTGTATTTTCATTCCAAGAATCCTGTGTTTTCCTGTATCTCATATCCTACAATCATATACACGGTTTATCATACAACCACTATTAACCCAAACTATTCTTTTAAAATAAAGAAACTTTTAAAACTAGTGTACAATCTATATTGTGATGCTCACCTCACAGTGTGCGCTGGGATCTCGGCCCCCCTGGGTGTGCTCAGGTCGATAGTACCAGAAAAGACTCATCATCAGCTCTCCTGAGGAGGCAAATTAGGACAGAGAGACGGAGAGATAGAAAGAGGGAGAGAGAGAGAGGGATGTCCAGAGAGAGAGAGAGGGGTATATGTAAACAATCCTGGTCATATGTCCTTTCGTCTACCCTTCCATGCAGATAAATCACTGTTATATCTCCGTTTCTCCCCATCCTTGTCTTCGTCACCTGTTTTAGGGTCCTCCCACAGCGCTGATATCTTGGCAACATATGGGAGGGATTTCTTCCTGGGGCCTGATCGCAGCAGCACAGTGTCTCTGACATGTATCACTTCACCGTCCCTCTCCACTCCTTCATAACACTGCCGCAGGGCTGTCTCATCCTCTCCCTGACAAACACACACACACACACACACACACACACACACACAATGACAGATATAATTCTCATTATAAAGACAAAAAGGAATCTGTCACACGACGCTGTGTGGTCAAAATACAATGACGTGTTCTCCCATGAACTGATGTGTTTTCTCTATCTGTCAGGCAGCAGTATGGATGCTAATGTTCCAACTAGCCCTCAGAGAAAAAACTCTGTAACTCGTCTTCACCACTCAAAGACACACTCACAGATTACCTACCGCAATGAAGACCTCTTTCTCTGAAGGCATGCCGACAGGCCGCCAGCCGTTGGTAGCCCGTCTGCGGCTGATTCTCTTTTGTTTGGTGCTGCTGAGGCTTGGCGGGGGCGACGGCTGTTTCGGCCGTGTGCGGACGACAGACAAGGATCCGTTGGAGGGTTTGGGGCTCTGAGGACATTCCCTGGCCAGCTTTAACCTGGCAGGGGGCTGGTCTCGTCCCGACAGAGGGGTCAGCAGGTTGGTCTGGGTGGAAGTGGGCCCAGTGGACAGAGGGCAGCTGGACATCGGCATGGAGGGGGACACCAGGAGGGAGGGGCTGTGGTCATCCTGAGGGGAGGAGTAACCCTCTGGAATAGTGGACACAATGCAGCAAGACAAATCTTTAAACTATAGCTTGTCAGACAAAAAGAAAAAAAACACACACACACTCATGTGTTAGCTGCTACAGTCTAACTTTATCTGATATGATAAGAAGCTACAGGAAGCTAACGTTGGCAAACTTTTTTAGCAGGTTTAGTTACTTCTGTTAAGCAAAATCAAATTCCAACAAACAGATTGGTTCCACAACAAAAAAAACACCTTTTAAAAGAAACCAGTTTCTTTATCTTTTTCATCAGCCAAACTGCACGTAACACAAATTGTTCCGGAAAATTCTACATTTAAGCTTTTTATCTAGGATTATATCTGAAAACAAGCCTCGAGCTAAGGACACTTTTAAAGCTCACACCAGAAAAAAAAAAAAAAACGTAAATGCCCTAACCGGGCATTGTTCGGCCACAGCTAGCTTGAGGCACAGTTTATGCAAAAGTAGACTCTTATCCTAATGGATCGAAGTGTAAAATTGAGATAAAGGGTTCTTTGAGTAAAAAAACTTTACAAACATGTTTTGCGATCAAAGACATATGAAGATGAACTTTCTTTCAACAGGGTCAAATACTATCCCTGCTCCAGATCTTATTGAAATGCTAAATGTGTTTGTTTAGAAGTGCTTGTAGCTGTATTACTCCAGATATGGGTTAGGGTCTTTGAACTACTTTATATCCTTTTCTAATTCATTTTTTCCATCTTCCACTCACCTGTTTTGATGGCGTGTGTGCATCCAGTGCATCCTGTGCTGAAAGAGCACCCCCTGCTGGTAACAGGAGGCATAGCTCTGTAGGTGTATCCACTGATTCCGCAGGCGTCACCATAGCAGGGTGAGGCCACAGAGTTGCAGTAGGCGGGATGGGGCAGCCCTGAGCCGTGGGACACCCGTGGATCCAGCAGCTTGGAGCCCGTCATCCGGTTAGGGCATAGACTGGTGGGGGCAAAGTTCAGTGGTCGTGGGGCCAGGCTCGATGATGTTGTTCCAGTGTGTGTCGGGTGGGCGATGTGGACGTAGTAGCTGGAAAAGCAGTGGTCGGCGGTGCAAAGGCAGGGGTGGGGGCTGAGGGTCAGGGCAGTGTGCGGATGGGAATGCGTGAGGGAAGGGGAGGTTACGAGGCACTCGCGCTTCACAGGGGTCATGGCTGAGTTTAGAGGCTGATCGTCAGACTCTCCGTAGGGCTGCTGGCCCAGGAAGAAGGCCAAGCGGTGGCAGTATTCCACTGAGCCCTCGGGGGGACAGCAGTAGTATGGGCTTAGTTCGGTCTCCATCTGTTCTTCCTTCACTTGTTTTAGCGGGTACGCAAGCATGCTGCGTGACTGGTAGCCGGGTTTGGTCAGTCGATGGGTGCAGCTGCCAGTATCCCACTCCACTTTAGGCTCAAAGTCCTCCTTGTTCTTGCAGGATGTGCAGGCGCTGTGCGGGGACAAGACCTTTTTCCCCTTCTGCTTCTGAGAGTGCTCCTTGTGTTTGACCCTGGTCTGCTGTTTGGGGGTCGAGGCAGCGGCAGGAGCCTTGCAGTCTGAAGTGATAGTAGCAGTAGGTGCAGACTTTACTCTCTGTTTACTTGTTGCAGACGAGCTGGTTAACTTAAGAAGTGCTGCAGCATTCAGGCCCGCCAATCTTCTGGGTGCAGGGGCATCTAGGCTTTCCTGACTCATCCCCCAAATCTCTCCTTGTTTGGCTTTAGCCTTCTTGACCTTCTTAGAGCTTTGGCACTTTACAAGTTTGTGAGATGTGGTGGTTTTGCCAGTGTTTCCCTGCAAAGCCTTCAGACTTCCAGAGATACCAGTCCTTGTTGGATCTGCATCCAGAGATATTACTCCATTTGATGGCTCTTCATGTCGTCTGGCCTGTTTGGCGGCTGGTTGTAGGTCAGTCGCTCTTTCAAGCAGTAGACTGTTGACTGCCTCTGCATTTAGAGAGGCCAGTCGGCGCTTTCGAGGTTGGAGGACCTGAACAGACTCGTCATAACTTGGGCCATTCGATTTTGATTTGGTTTTTGGTAACAACTTTTCCTCTTTTCTTACAACTTTTTTCCCTCTTTTAGGCTTAGATTTGAGGGATGAATGTCGCCGTCCTTCTTTATGTTCCCTCTTTTCAGAACTCTCCTTGTCACGAATGCTTTCCTCCAATCGGGTAAGGAGAACATGGCAGCTGAGCCCCTCCCCATCTGAAACCCCAGCCCTCCCCCGCAAAGGATACAACTTCCTGTCCCGTTTCTTGTCATTCTTCCGGTTGAGTTTTCTGTTCTGATCTGATTTTTCAGGTCTCCCTCTCTTGACGTTCATCCTCTTGTCGGGATTCTTCTTTTGTTTGATGATCTCACTTATCTTCTTCGTCCTTCCAAATCGCAGTGAGCGTTCAGACCAAGCGTCGCCCATAGTGCCACCATGTGGCCAAGGAAGGCAGTTGTCCCACCACTCAGCACTGCTGTCACTCTGCCTGAGGGAACCCTTCTGCCTTGCGTGAGTCATCACATGCTTCTCCACAAGGCCTACAGATAAGAGACAAGTGGTAAAAACTACAGTTTGTCCTAGTTTCACCATGGGCTTACAAAGATCAAAATCAAATGAACAACAACCAGAAGAAGCAGACAAGTTAGTTACAAACAAAGCTTTTAATTGCTCCCAAAGAAAGCTAGCTTCCCTAGCCCTAAACACAATAAAAATGAAAATGTTCTTTCATTAACTTGTGTTCTGCACAGAAGATAAGTTTAGATATGCAGAAACACTATTTTGGTCATGAAACCGGATTAGAACTGAAGTTATTTTCTGGGCAGACATTTCAGGAGTGTGTGAACACTTGTTACTTAAGTAATTACTAAAAATGTTATTAATATCACAACTCTTAGCAAGGCAAAGCTTGTTGCTTTGTGGAAAACACAGCAGCAAAATGATAATGAAAGCAAGTGAGAGCCAACAAAATAGGAGCAGAAATATTGACAATCTTACATAAGCCTTCAGTTTTGAGTTAAACACAGCACCATCTGATGCAGCACATAAAGAAGCTTAATGATGACTACATTCAGCTGAATGGTTTATGTGATCAGGCTGAATATAGATGTGTTTATGGTGAGCTCCAGCTATTGTGCGCCTGTTTGAGATCCTGTCACTGCTTTGAGTTTGTGTCTTTGTTTTATGTAGAAGAGAAAAAAACTGATGCACTCTGTTATTCATTTACTTTGCACAAAGCATGCAAACAGAAGCTTGTTAAGGCCAATTGTGTAGTCTCAATGATTACCTGGAAAGGAAATGTCAAAATAAAACTTCAACAGTAAGCTCAACTTAAAGTAGACATATTATCCCCCTTCTACACCTTTTCAAACAGTCCCCTGTGTTCTAAATGAAACATCTGTGCTGTGCTTTGGTCAAAATATAACATGAATCAAGAACCAGAGGAGGTTTGTGACCCTGTATAAACCAGTTCTCTCAGAACGCTCCGTTTTGGTGTGTGTCTCTTTAAATGCAATGAGCATCATTCCTTCGCTATTGAGAATGAAAATGTCCGACCTGCGCAAAAGTTTTGTTCTAGGCTGGAGTGGAGTCCATGGGTGGAGATATCAGGGGAGGGGAGGGTATTTTTCTTACCAGAATCTCACTTGTGATGTCACAAGTTGACCAAATTGAAACGGAGCATTTTTCTCTTGTAAGACTTATGCAGACCACAAACAAAGGACTGATGGATCTATTTCACATTTTGTGGATCGGTAGACACTCAGGTTACCCAAATATAATTTCAAAAACACTGTAAAAGTGGATTTTTCATAATATGTCCCCTTTAAGGAAGGAACAACAAATGAAAAATAAACTAGCTCAATGCCGAAGTTAAGTTACCATTTCAGTTAATTTAATGACTTCACGTTGATTCATGACTTCATGTTATGTTAGAAGAAAAGGAGTCTCAATTATATCTCTGTAGCTAAACATGACACTCCTTTAGTCCATTTTAAACCCTTTGAGCAACTAAACTAAATTATAACAATTATCTTCAGAATTTTTCATAAAAAATAACTGTGAAATTGCAACCTAAACAAATCAAATAATTACTAATGTAAATGCTCAAGAGACTGCTCTTGAATGCCAATATACCATACAGGAGCTTTGGTTATAAAAATGAATTGGCTGCATAATGTAAAAAAAAAGTTGAACATAAAGTAGAATCTGCACCGTGGGAGAGGAGAAAACTCCATTAGCAAAAACTAATTTAACAAAGCATTGTTGTTCATCTTTATTGAACTGAATGGAGGTTTTCTGTTTCCAAATCATGAATTTCTTCTCCAATCAATTTTTTTTCAGTAAAAACCAATTCATGTATTCCCTTTATCTTAAGTTACTGAAATACATAATTACAAAGCTCTTTGTTGCATATGGATTTAATAGGTTTCAAACAAATTAATATTATGTGTTAAGAATTTCCAGCATTTGTTCTTGCTTTTATTTTAGTTTTTGAGGCAAATGTTAATTTGTATCACTCTCGGGTACTTTAATCACTTGTAGGACTCCTTGATCAAGTTTTCAATTAGAGAATATCAAAATAAAAATAATACATCCATGCATGCTGTATTATTAAAGTCAACATCCTGTGAAAAGGAAAGTTTTCAGTGAGAGCTTTCACACCTTATGAATGTCGTATGAAATAATTGCTAACACCCAGACCTCACGAAGTGCACCTATTTGTAAACTTCCATGGATATGCATTGAAAATCTGTGCGCACAGTATATGATACTGTTTACAAATCTGAGCATACACTTGAGGAAACCGTGAACAGACATTGCTAATCTGTGTCCACGATTTATCAACCGTGCGTACGGATTTGCAATCGCCTGTTTATTTTTTCGTAACTAAGACTTGGGGAATCTGTGCAACACAACAAAACTCCTGTTTTAAAAAGGTAGGCTGAGTGTGGGAAGGCGTGTTATCAAGACAAAGAAAAACCAAGAGAGAGCAGAATCACATCAACAACAAGCAGCGGCACAAAATGAAAAAAAAATGAAAAAAAAAGAACAGCATTTTAAGTTCTGTTTAATAGACGTACTGCAACAAATGCATTCAAAGAGCCATAACAGCAGACATCTCTCTGTTTGTCTGGTCATCTGCAAAATATATAGATCTGCGATATACCCTGGGGGACAGGGTAAGGAGATCAATCACCTACTTGTCCACAGTCTTTAAATGCTGATCATATGGGCGGAAATTATACCTGGGCGCCAGGTAATACGTATACGTGTGGTCCACCTAGGTGGAAAACACTGCTCACTACATGCTCCTGTAATGTGGGGGTGATCCCCCCCCCCCACACTTTGAGAAGTACTACCCTAATGCAACCTGACTATTGCATTCTTCATACTACATCACATGACTTCAACGGCACATCCAAACAAAAAGCCAAAGGACAGCGCCCAGAAATTGCACTTAAGAACTACCTACTGTACTTCGTCATACTTTGATCCAGTGAGCCTCTGCCTTATGACTCAGAGGATAATGGACATGTTGTCCTCCATCTCATTCCCCATCTTTTCAGCAGATACAAAACACAACTTCAGTCTATACATCGAGCCCCAGCCTCCTACAACAACCCCTTCGTCTGCTCCATGTTTTTAAATGTGTGGAGAGGATTCTAGCAGGAATTTAAGGGTGTACTTACCCTTTAAAGACTGTCAACATAAATATTTATAGCAAGTGCTTGCCCCTATCCTTTCCGTGTTTAACAGCGCAAAGAGAGTGTATTCATGAATTTAGAGTTTTAACATTTCCCTAAATAGCCTTCATATCTTAGTTATCACACGTATTAGCTCATCACCAGAGAAAGAAGTCATCCAAGGCCTAGTCAGCTTTATAATGTTTGCCAATTCATTCTGCAATGCAAGAGTTACAGGCCAAGGCATCTGTTCAGACTAGCATGGCTGTGTGAGGCACACAGAGGCTTTAACGATGATACCGATTTCTGTGTGTGAAGACATTTAGGACTGTTGAGTTTGGACCCTACTTTTATGACTAATTTACAGCTGGTGGCTAAAAGGTTTTTCAAACATGTTTGATTTTGTCTGCCTAAATCTGACTGGGCTTGTGCAGTTTACAGGTCCAAGACTGAACTGCCAGAGTGTATACCTGCCATAGTAAAGTATAAAGGAGAACTAGTCTTGTAACCTTCTTGTCTTATTTTGACATTTCTTTTAAATACATTTACCCACATGAAGACTTCATTATTGACTGTGTTTTAGCACTATTTTAGCCATTTATGCTTTCTGTAGTTGTATGAAAGAAGCGTAATGTATAGTTCTTATGTAGTTTTGAATGACATTATGGGTTTTTAATGAGATTAAAATAGTCCATGTTGCGCTGCCAGAGGGGAGGGGGCCCTGAGACAAAAGTTATTTATGAATTAGCCATTCTTCTGATGACATTTTTTGCATATGGATTTAAAAAAAAACAACAACAAAAAAAAAACATAATAACTTACTTAAGTTTTCTTTTTTTTTTTTAATCCTTAAACACATTATGGGCATTTTATTGGGCCCTGCAGTTTTGGGGCCCAAGGCTATTGCCTACCTATGTCTGATGGTAAAGTCACTGGTCATTGAAATTAAATTAAGATAGCACAGGCAGGGAACAAATTTACTTGAGCAAAACAAAAACATATTTTACTGTTTTAGTTAAATAAATATGGAGCCATTTTTTTCTTTAAGTTTAAGTTAGGGCCCGGGCTGTGCCACCCCAGTCTAAAAAGTCTGGATTCAGCCCTGTTTGTTGAACTAAAACATTTCCAAGCACATCATGGTACGTTGTCCAGAAGCAGGAGGACAGAGGGATCTGTTGCTGGGACAGAGGGGGAAACAGCAGGACAGGGACTCAACTTCAATCAGGTAAAAGTTCTTGCTTCTCAAGGATTACAATCTTTACGTCATCGATCTCAGCAGTGACTGAAGCTGCTCCTGCAGAGAGTCATATCTGATTTCACAGCTGTCGAAAAACTTGTCCTACTGACAAATCCTAACAAACAGTAAAGGCAGAAGATAGTGCTAAAAGTTCAACAATACTCTGGTTGTCCATATATTGTAAGAAAAGCACAAACGGACTGTTTCTGTTAGAACAAGCTAATTAATAAATCAACAGAGCGTGCAGCCAGTCCATCTCTCTCTCTATCACTCTCCTGTTATTTATCTCCCTTGCTCCATTGTAAATATACACCAATAATAATCAATACAGATCATCAAAAAGAGAGCACTCTCTGGGGTGCTGGTGGCGCAGTGGTTAGTGCGCGCGTCCCATGTATGGAGGCTGTAGTCCTCAACACGGGCAGCCCAGGTTCAAATCCAACCTGTGGCTCCTTTCCCGCATGTCAATCCCCCACTCTCTCTCCCTGATTTCCGTCTCTGTCCTATCTCTCCATTAAAAACACAAAAGCCCAAAAATAAATCCTTTTTAAAAAATAGAGCACTTTCTTAAAAGGAATAATAATCTCTGTGTTGTGAAGAATGGCTTTATTTGTCGACACCATTCATATATTTTTGTACTTTAAGAGCAGCGTGCTTTACGCATGTGTCAATTAAAAATATTAAAAGTCTGCGGGGAAATAAAAGGAGATGTGTCAGTAAGTGTGCGTGTGTCAAAGACAAACACTCACTCTAGGTAGGAAGGAACACACGAGCAAAGCAGAGACATTGATCAGGACAGAGAAACACATATAGATGCTCATCAGAAATAAATGAGAGCACATAAATAAGATTAAGTAAATTCCATATATTAAGGATTTAAACGAGGCCCGAGGCAGATTATTTGCAATCAAGTTATTCAATTTCTTCGAGGAATAGTTTTCAGACACAGAGCGGCTTCATAAAGATGGGGGGGGGGGGGCTGCTGTCCAGCTTACTTGTATATAATATATTTAACATGAGATGTCGCACTATAGTCGATCCTTTCAAGGAGACGCAGTGGACTTCTCTCTCTTTGTTTAATGAGTAGGTAGCCAGAAGGGAGATCGTTTTTTCCCTCGTATGGGATCTTAGATGGCGATCGTATACGGATAAAAAAAAGAAAAATGCAAACATGGTCAGTAAATAAAAAGTGGACTAAATGTCCAAAATGTTTCCACACAGTTGTTGCTTCCCTAGAGAGGAGTGAATGTTTTCTTTCTTGATCTTGGCTGCTTGTCATTGTCCGTTTGCTGCTACAGCTTGTTTGACAGTTCAGGATGACGCACAACTGGGTGGAAACTGTCACACAGGTGTGCCGTGGTCATTTGTAAATAAAGGCGCATCTTAGAGATGATGATTTAGATGTTTTGACTTTCCATCCATTTGATTGGATCATTGTTCAAATCAATGGGTTGTTACACCCCTATTAAAAACTATGAGTTTAAGCTAATTAGCAGTGGCACTCTAATATTTGACATATCTCAATTCAGTAAGTTGACTCAATATTAAACAATGTTATTGCACATTTTTTTCTCCTATTGTGCAGGCCTAATTCCTTATCACTTATTTTGTGTTTGTGCTTTTAGAGCCACAGCCGATGTGACCTTGCCAGCTTAGACTGAAATTCAATACCAGTACGATATAATACAAATTTAAACTCTGAGGCGTATCTTTTCATATTTAATCCTGAATTAAATAATAACTATTCCTCTTCGGCTTTCCAATCTATATCAATAATCACAGTCTGTATTCGAGTTCACATCTAAACTCTGACCTTGATACTGAGCCGTTATAAGGACTTTTTTTAAAACCACAAAGACATTTTTCCAGCAGCAGCTGTGCATGGGTGCATTGCTGAGAAGTGTAGGTGGGGAAACACTGGAGGGGATAACCTGAGAGATATTATCTTACAAGGCAGCAGTGTGGCCAAACAGCAATTTGGCTCTTTAAACACAGTGAGACCTGGTTATCCTCAGGAAGTAATCTCACGTTTACGGGAAGATCAATGACCCTGCGCTTCGTCTCTAATTGGTTAGAAAACAGATTATGAGCGCCTTTCAGAGCATCAAACACCAGGCTCACCAGGTATTTCTTTTTCTCAACATAAAACCAGCAAAATCTCCCAGGACTCTGGAGACAATGTATGTGAAACAGCAGCTTAGGTGGGTTTAAATGATAATTTTACACATTAAGGATGGGGGGAAAAAACACACAAAAAACAATCAATATCTAAGAATGTCTTCATGAATAGTTTTTTATACTGTGATATGTAGATAAAGCTAAAGCATGAATATATTTTAGTCTAGCACACGTTTCATGTTATAGCCTCTATAGTTCAACAATAAGTTCAGACCCATAAAACTCTTTGTGTCCCAAATATTGCACAAGTCAGCATAAAGCACAAAAGTTCAAGCCTGGGTTATAGAAATAAAGTCATGAAAAATGAAGCAGTTTGCCAATATGACAATGAGCCTGATCTTCAATCACAAACATAAAAGAAAACTGCACACAAAGCAAAAGTCACTTTGGGATTATTACTTGATTACTGACACACAAGCCAAATTCAAAACCTCTCAGTGGGTCCCAGGTTATTAACATGATACAGAGGAAAATGTGTTGCAGAATAGAATTTATCTTTATAACAACACTTTATTTTAGTTTTTAAACTCTGAGTGAAAGAATTATAAGACTATAAGACGCTTTGTTTTAAGCTTTTGACGGTGTTTATAAAGGTCTTCAGGAGAACTTTAACCCCCCATTATCCTTATAGCATAAAAAAGTTATTGACTATCTCCAGTAGAGTTTAATAAAATATTTATAATAGCTTCACTTTACTTCAGGACTCTTTAAGGAGAAAACATACATTTTAAACTAACTAATAAAAATGATTGTTCATATATATCTTGGTTGTTTAACAGTATTAGGTACACTTAACAGTGCAGGTTAAAACATATTTATAAATGTATCCAAAACTACTCAAGTCAATATCATTTAGGATAACAACTTTTAGTCAGTGTAATAAAACACAGATTTATCTAAACAGAACATTGACAAGATATTTATAAACACACAACTAAAATCTGTCCACCATAATATTGCTTTGTAAAATTCTTGATTGCGTTTATATGATTCCTAAACAGGTGGCTTACAATAAAGTGTTGCTTGATGAAAACTCTTCTCTAAAAGGACTGTATGAAAATCACTGAGCTGGGGAGTCTGAAACTTAAGCGACACATCCCAACATGGCCCTATCATTAAATGTTACACTGTACACCTCAATATCTCAAAATGATATATTTCAAACATAACACTGAGAAATACAGCCTCTCTCCTATTTGTGTAAATAAATAGGAGAAAATGGGTCCTCAAAATATTATCTAACATATATAATAATTATGTCAAATATAAAATAACCATAGAGCACAAATCTAGAAAATATGCTCAGACTCCCCCCTAGTCTGACTCCTTCCTCTCCTTAAATATGATCACACAGTCCCCAAATGTTGGTGTTTTCTGTGAAATGCTTTTGAGGCTCGCTGTTAAGCCTCCAAAACCGCTCCTATGACACATCTGAGTAAAACAAACCACTTTTAGATTAATCTGTCACAACTCGTGGCCACTGTTAGGCCCATTTAACTCTGTTAATGGATCTCTTGATGGCATTAGTTTCATTTTTTTTTTAAAAGGTGCAAAAGACGTCAAAAGCTTTTAATATTATCCAACCATAAAGAAACAACATGCAACACTGCTGGCAGGAAACAACTCCAGCTCTGCTCAACACTTGCTAACTCTAGCTGTTCATGCAACCATTACCGACTCATCAGCTGCTCTTCCACATTATTACACCTGTAATCAACCCCTCATCCACTTGCTTTTTTAATGTTTCTCCTTTTCAACTTTAAAGTGGAGCCACGCCACCAACAGCACACACACACACACACACACACACACACACACACACACTCACGCACACATCAAAAATAAATAAGCAGCGCGTTGGGATCAGATTGAGAGGGCTCTTCTTTTACATTTTCCATGTCAGGGCTGCTGTCAGGCAGATACAGCAGGAGGCGTTCATCAGGAAAAGACTACAAGAATCTGAAACACCAGGTTCATGTTTTCTGTTGTTTTCTTCCAAGACTTACACGGCAGCCTTGAGCTTCATCTGCTCAGATGACGAGGAAGATTTACATTCATTAATATCTAAATACATAGGCTACTCCATGTATCTATAGGCTACATACAGTGGCCGAGGGATAGCCTACAGTAGGATGTGATACAGTACAGCTTGACGTAGCTTGCCCATCTGAAGTAGCCAGCCAGGCTCTAAATATGGGCTGGGGAGAGGAGGGGGGGGAGAGAGGGTACCCGAATACACACATACATACACACCAAGCAAAATAAAGGGCAGTCACCCCTCCTGTTCGCGTTTTCCAGCCGGATTCCGTGTTGCCGACACGGTGGCTGTTCAGATCCCGGTCCTTCCAGTTGAGACCTCGGAGAGTCTGGCTCGTATAGCAGCAGCAGCCTTGTATATGTGTGTGTGTGTGTGTGTGTGTGTGTGTGTGTGTGTGTGTGTGTGTGTGTGTGTGTGCGTGTGTGTGTGTGTGCGTGTATCGCTTCTGGTGCACGAAGCGAAAAATGGGTTCTGCGCTCCTCTTTTTGGACGGCTGGCCAGTCGGAACAACTTCAAACATTCAGGGCGAAATCGCAACAAAATAACGAGAGGCGGTAACTTACGGCTCGCGGACACGCTTCCTCCTGCACGAGCCGGGAACCGTCGAGCAAAAAAATGTGCGGGGAGGAAAGGGGGGAGGAGAAGCCGCCGGACTGGTGCGATGGTAGAGCTCCGTAACTGGGAGAGCTGGGGAGGAGTGGAGAGAGGACGGTCGGTGGCGCTGCCTGCGAGATGTGTGTATGTGTGTGTGTGTGTGTGTATATTTGTGTGTATGTGTGTGGTGCTCTTCCTGGTTGGGCTTCAACCGATCTGAAGAAAACTTCATCTGAACCAATTGCCACACGGACCCGGGTCGCTTGACACCCTCGTTCTCCAATGACGGACAAACAGCTGTTTTTATTGTGGAAGGGGATATAAAAAACCTAAAGGCAGTGTGCTTTATGAGTTAACTTGGTGACAGTATATTAAAACACAGAGCTGCCTCACAGGCGATGGATGTTACTGCCCCCCCCCCCCAAACGCCGACAGACAGCCTCACCCTATCATTGTCGTGACAAAACCACGACCAGTCAGCCACCAGACTGTTAAAAACACGTCTAGAGAAATTCATGTGAGACGTGAACATGTAAAAGGCTTAAAACGACGTCAACAGTGTCCCATGTGGCACACGAGAGACAAATAGGCTGCTTCATATTTAACAAAGTTATGTCTAGTCATGAGATGTTTAAGGAAAGGAAAGTAACACGAAAATCACTTTAAACGTTAAGTATTTAACCCTTAGCTTCAGCCCAACTTACAAATATATTCAACATCAAGAATAATAAGCTTCAAAGGGTTTAAATCATCATTCCTGAATCAAACTTTATAGATTTACAAACCTTGGCTGGAAAAAGAATACAAGATCAAGTTCAACCTTCAAATGTCCCTCAACTATCCCGTCCCCTAAAACTCAGCTGCAATCATAATTAAGAAGACCCCTCAGTCAACTCACGTTTTGTCAGTAAAATATCAGCATTTTCTTCAGCCACATGATTTAGTTCTGTGTTTATTTTTACAATATTTATACCATTATCAACAGGTCTCCTCCTCACAAAAACAGATGGAGTAGTGATAAATCCATATAAAATATAAGTTAAAGATCTGAAATGCTTTTCAGCAGGGCGAACTGTGAGCTGAGCTGCCTCTTAGCTCATACTTACTGAATATTTCATCTAGTTGAATTAAGTAGTTAAAAGAAATGTTGGTACATGTGACTTAACTCAGTTAAAAAAAAATCAGTCAGGTTAAAAAAATGTTCATAACTGCCCAACAGCAAGGCCACTGCTAGTCTAAAGGAGAAACATGAGCCTTTTGAAGGCTGATATATATACGAGTTTGATGCAGCAAAAGAAGCTTTAAACTAATTCAAAAGAAAACAGCAGTGGATTCGTTAACTGTTGTCCTCGATATACTAATGCAACAACACTAACAAGGAGTTAGTGTCCTCCCTCTAAAATCTTTAAAATGATGTACAGGCCTTTGTCAAATTAGACTTGCTTAGATTGTTATACATTCACACATTGTTAAATCTTCCCAACAAGAAAGTCTGGATATTTTTTCCACCCTGAAAATGAAATTCAAGAGTGGAATATTCAGTTTAACATAGAAAGTGTGTCTTCATTCATTGTCTGGAAATACAAAAGACATGTAAATACTCAAGTAGTGCAGGTACCTCAAAACAGTATTGATTTATTTATTTCTTATTAGTATAAATTCCTACAACCTGCTTGCTGTGTCCATTACTGCCTGTTTACTGTGACTGTAGCGACATAGTAAGATTGAAAACCTCAGATAGCAGCTAATCAAGGAACCTTAATCAGGAGATCATACTATTTTGAGTTTACATGTAAGACATCTTTTACAACAACAACCTGATCTCTAATGATTGCATGATTACATTGTGCTCGCTAATAGATTAACGTCATACGAGATCATTGTATTAATCACCTGGTTATAAACCACCAAGAACCACCTACAGATCACTCAGAGAGAACAGAAACTACTTATTATAGTCTTGTCTCGATCCACCTCTGAACACTCTCTCAGTCCTCTGACAGTGAATGTGTGTTAAGTGTTCGCCCTCATAGTGTGTGCTCTTCACTTCCCCATTTTCTCACAAAAGTTGAAGTTTTTACATCTGTTAGTAAACAGTAAAACTCCCCTTCACATTGTTGTAAAACGTAAAATTACATTGAAAGAAAATGTTAAATTTTCAGGACAGCTCGCATTCAAACCCGCAGCTGTTGAAGGGAGATGCCACCACAGTAATGGCGGCTTGTCATGTTCCGTTTTTCCCCCAGATCAAACAAGCATGGAGTAAGTAAAGCATTGCCACACAGAAAACATCAGCGGAGTACTTAAAACAATCTAGTTACACTCTTCCAGTCCACACTGAACATGTAGAGCTGCATTAGAAAGATCACTCAGGATCACTCTAGATTCTGCATAAAGATGTAGACTCTGTACTCAGGGGTCTGGCGTTGCAACATGGGAAGTGTTCTTGTTTCTGTTAGCAGGGTTTTTCCTGAATGGGCCTTTGGGGGCGACTATACACGCTGTAGTAAACGTTCGACCTGCTTATTACAGTATAGTCTACGAGTCTGTATTACCTTATTTGACCATTTCATGAATAATATTGTCATTATGCTTAAGTTACTGAAACCCCAATTAAATCTGGTGAAGAATTTGTTTTTATTGCAACAGTGAAACATGGGAGGGATTTTGAGGGAGAGGGGTGTAAATGAGATTGGCAGAGGGAAGGTCACATCCTGCCAGTGCATTTCACCCCCTTCCTATGATGGCTGCTCTTTTCCTTTAAATTGTGTTTTCGTTTTACATACACATTTATTTGAGTTAAGGTATTGTGTCAAATAATCACAGATTAAAGTCACAGATAATTTGGATCATTTGATCAGATCAGGAAATTGAGAAATAATAAAAAATATATTTGCTGGCTATAACGTAGCGCTGTTTGACTGTCTGTGTGGAGAAGTTCACAGACTACAGCTGGCTGACGTTACGATCGTTAAGTTATTGATTGTTGATAAAAGCAGACACGGTGGAAGTGAACGGAGAAAAGTTGAATGTGCGTTGAAGACTCGGTCCATATGAATAGTGGATCAACTGGGTTCAGTTGCACTACAAGTAAACAGGTTACGCGCGGTGGTTGGCACTCCGGTGTGTGTGCAGCCATGTATGTATGTTGGTGTGTCTCGTCTCGGCGTGCCCCCCCGATGACCCGTCTGCAGACAGCAGAGGAGCAGGGACAAGTAGCTGCAGCTAGCCTACATCATACGCGGTTTAGTATAGTTTTAACATGACTGTTGGGATAAATATTTACCGCCATTAAGTTGTTTGCTCTGTGAAATGAATTCGCCAAACGGAAAATCAACCCGCATTTTGCGCTTTGTGGGTGTCAGCGGAGCGTCCGGAACCAGTCAAAAGAAAAAAACCAGTCAATCAGCTGGCTATGTGCGCGAGCCGCATGCGTAAATGGGTGAGAGGGGAGATGACTGCTAGAAGTCAGAGACGTCGTATTTAAGTTTATGTTCTGATTGTTCAACAGTCGTTTGATGTATTGATATTTTTAACATGCATTCAGAGAGGATTTGATTTGCAATTTGAATCGTCTTATAGCGCTGGTGATTTTCCTTTGGCGCTGGGTAAAACCTCTTTGGGGGGCGCCAAAGAATTCTCTATGCAGGAAAAACCCTGGTTAGTAGTACCTTGGTAGTCTGAGCTGTATTGTATATCAGAAGGCTTTGGTTTGTAGATTTGTAGAAGTCCACACCATTCCAAAAACAGGCAGTATACGCTATCCACGATAATGACATACAGCCGGTAATCTGATATTCATCTGTATAAATGTATCTGCATAAAGGGCAGCTCATGATGAAATATAGATCATTAATCAAAATTGAGTGACAAATCTGCTTGATGCTGTCACGAAAGCCACTCAAGCGTTTAGACTACATTAAACACATCAGAAATGATCGAATCGATCGACCTCCTAACAAACAAGCATTTTCAACACTGTTTTGGTATCAACTTGAGGACAGACTTGATGAGGTATGATGTTATTTTAACTTATTACCCATTTAATGCAAGCAAATCCCAAGAGAAGCGTTTCTTTTTCGGGTCATACAGCTCAAGTTATCCAGAGGGAAGCCCATGTGTAACTGTCATGTTGAACTGATACTCATGAGAAACAGATGACCACGTGCTACTCCGTGGGATGTAATGGGCCAGGAAATAATGGCGTTTATGTTGCCATGCAGAAAGGGAGGTCTTGGCTAGAAGTCGTTTAACACTACCCGCTGGCCTCACCACAGTTGCTGAGAAGTTGGCATTTTTTTCCCCAGAGGCATTTCAGGTTCATCAGATTATGATAGGCGATGTTTGAGGATGGGTTCCTTTATACATCTCTGTGCATCAGCCACCTTTAAACTCAATCTAAACAGTCTGGACGAGTGAGGCAGGATTTGAAGTGATGAGGTTTTACAGTAGTTAAGCGCTTTTATCAGGGTGCAATAACTGGTTCTGACATTTGGACACAAGGAATGTTTTTATGTGAAGTAAGGAGAGGTAGTGTCAAACTAGACTTTTGAATCATCTGAACCCTGCCGCTAATCGGTGCAGGATGGTGTAGGTGTAGGATGGACAGATTCTGGGTGTGTCTGTCAAAAGGCATGCTTCATGTTGCAACATCACCTTAAGATCTGAATGTAGAACTATGTGCTGCGGACTTCATCCTTACAGCTCCCACCTGTGGACATTTTGTGGCATTGATCTTATACCTGAGTGACTACTGTAATTTAAATCAAATAAATTACTTAATGCTTGTT